AAAAACGAAGGCCTGAAAATATCTGACCGCATTCTGGCCATGAAGTATCGAGTTATGGCGACCATATTAGAGACAGTAGACAATCCTGGTGTCGCCGTGACGCCATGCGGAGTGTGTGTAAAGGAATTAAACTGTCTGCCTGCAGTGCAAAATAGCTTTGATGTTCAGCTCAAGAAAGGCATCCAGGTAGTAAGAGGCTTTTTCGGTCAAGAGGAAAGAAGGCAAATTATCTTCAGTGTCTGTCACGTGAATCGTGTCATCTACGATGTCACGCGAACGATTGGTGAACACGCACACTTTTTGAGCTGGCCTCCTATTGATACTGGAGGACACAAAATCAACCCATTGTACGACCCAAGAATAACTAAAGTACTGCTTAAATATGGCATGGAGCACCGTTGTGTTCCACCATTATTATTTGATCAGAAGGGCGAAGAGGAGCACAAGCTGAAGTGGCCGATTGGCATCGCTACAAACTCCGGCGGAGAATTCATTGTCGGAGATTACTATGATGGTTGTGTGAAGGTGTTTGACAGCAGCGGCAAGTTTGTGAATCATTTCAGTCTCCCTAACGATGATGTAAATACAGAGTTATATATTTACGATGTCGCCACAGACACGGACGACAACATCTTTGTACTGACCCTTCTGAGGAGCTTGGCAGAGCTTTCGAGACCTAGATCTTGGTGGATTTATAAACTTACGAAAACCGGTGACCCGTATCACAGGTTTCGTCTGAGGAGAGAGGGCTGGGTCGAGTACAAAGTACTGTCAGTGACTGACACGGGAAAAGTACTGACAGGAGGAAGGATCATGACAACAGAAGAGACGAGAGTAATGGAGCTGCAGGATAAGGTGACAAGAACAAAAACATTAAAGCCAGGAAGAAGGATGATGACAGTAGGAAGGATCATGACAGGAGGAATGGAGCCTAAGGTGGAGGAGTATGACACTAATGGAAAGTTTGTTCGCAGTTTTGGCAAAGGAATATTGGTGAGTGCGTGGGATTTCACTGTCGCTACTGATGGCCATGTTATGGTAGTGGACAGAGATGATTCCTGTGTTCACATATTCAGTGAACACGGTGAACATCTTAACAAATTTAAACTGCAAAGAAATGACTGTTACTACACGAGCATTGCATTTCACCGAACAGGTGAACATGTCGTCATCGCTGGTGCTAGAGAAGAGAAGAAACTCCTGCAGGTTGAGATATACAGCAAAGATGGTGAGTTTGTGCGTAGCTGTGTAGAAATCCAAATTGATGAGAGCTTTTCCGTAATAGGGATTACAGTGACTACTGAGGGACGCATTGCTGTTGTTGTAGATACTTATAGAAGTCAGAAGGTATTAGTTTTTTAAACTGCTCTTTTTGATGTTTTTCTGTTGTTGGGATTGTGTAGGGACTTAATTTAGGGTAAGCATCAAAACTCTCCATCACGGCTCTTATTCGCTGCTTATTCTCTTAGCTACTATCAGCGTCAAGATTTGTTTACACATGATGTTTGAGAAGAGTTATGAGGAGAAAAACAGTCCTGTTTCTACCACACTCGAAATTATTAACAGACCCCTCCTCCATTCAATGTTTGCTAAAAGTTC